CTCTGGGGTAGCAGAACTTGCTGCATTTGTCCTCTTCGGGCCTGACCGCCAAGCCAGCTGATCCGTCAAGGTTAAAGTCTCTCCAGTCCTGGGGATTGGCTCTCTCCTGGTGCAGAGATGCCCAGGGAAGGGTGGGGGTGCCAGGCTAGCAAAGCAGCTGCCAGGCCGGAGGGAGGGGGAGGGAGGGAGGTGAGTCCTCTGAGGTGCTGCTGTGCTGGAAACTGGGAGCAGGGAGAGAACTGGTGTGGCACCTCCCCTGGTCGCTGTCCTCTGTGCTGGGGATTAGTTGGGAGTTTTCTTCTGGCCTTGAAGGGAGCGGAACAGCTGCCTCAGCTGTTTTTTCCGATCATTGACGCAGCCTGGAAGGGAAGTGGAGTGTTGCCTGGGATGGGCTGTCCCAAGTAGAGGGGGATTTAGGGGCAGTGGAGGGGCCTGTGCTCCCACTACCTGCGGGAAGAGGGGACAGCAGGAGCCATGCAACCACGGATGGCCTATGGTTTGCATCCTGGCTCCCCTCCTGCCTGTCATGGCCCTTAGGCAGGTCATTTACCTCTTTGAACATCCGCTTTCTCATCTGTAAACCAGGATACCTGCTTTATGGGGTGAATGTAAGGATCATCAAAAGAAGGTAATATTCACTGGGGGCTTACCTCAAACCAGGGGCTGCTTCAGGTCCAGAATGTGGACTGACTTGTTGAACTTTCACGGGAATAACGTGTACAAGAGAAAACTGAGGCTTGGAGAGGTTAAGTAGTTTACTCCAAATCACACAATAAGTAGCAGGACTGAGGGCTGAACCCAGGCTATCAAGCTCCAGAGGCCCAGCTCTTAACCACCACCCCACATTGCCTTACCTTCTGGCTTTGCTCTGAAAATGCACTTAAAGCTATCACAGTGCCTGGTACCTAATTGGTTAAATGTTAGTTTCTTCCCTTATCCAACCCCATGTGTCAGGCACTTTCATCTAAGAGATGGCTCTTCCCTGCAGGTGGCCCCTACTCTCATGAAAATGTGCCCCAGGCAGTCCTGACATGACCTCCCCTCTCTGAGCACGTTCACAGTGTTCCCTCCCTTTTGTGCTCAGAGCTGATCCTTGAGGCGACTCTGTGGTCATTTGCTCTTGGGCCAGGCACACTGATGGCACTCACGAATGGTGGCTGACTGACTGAATCCCCACGGGGAAACTACTGACCTGGAGGTGTCTGCCATCTTTCAGCACCCCAGAGCCCCATCCCTGCCTCCTAGGCACTCACCAGCCATCAAGGCTTCACTGAGCCGAGAGTCCACTAAATGCACCCCCAGGGTTTTCCAAAGTGAGTTCCGTGGAACCTTAGCTTTAACTATAATTGGCTCATTCATAATTCTCAAACCTTTGTGTCCAGTGCAAATCTCTTCTTGGAGTTCTAGACTCATCTCTGAGTTACCTGTTTATCTTTTCACCAGTTCTCAACACATCCCTAACTCATTTCATCAGTACTCTTCCACCCCCAGCCAGCTCCTCCTGTATTCAAAACCATCCACCCAGACGCTCAACTGGAGACTTGGGGAGCACTGGCTCTCAGCCTAAGCTGTGCTTTAGACTTATCTGGGAGCTTTGATAAATACTGACGTCCAAAGACACTTACCTCCAACAGGCGTCAGTATTTTTTAATTCTCTTGCATGATTCCGATGTTCAGCCAGGGTGGAGAACCACTGTTCTGAATCTTTGCTACTCAAACAGAGTCCAGGAACCAGCAGCATTGATATCTGAGGTGGACTGTTAACACAGGCGGCTGCAATGATCCTCCCAGGCCTATATGCACCTCTCTGCAAAGGTGCCTCTCTGTGCCGCTCCTCCCGTCAAGAAGTGGAGTCTATCTCCTTGTCCCCTGAATCTGGGCTGGACTGGCTTTGGCTAATGGATTGTGGTGGAATGACATTGTGGGATTTCTGAGCCTAAGCCTCAAAAGGCTTCGCTACATCTTCTCTCGCCCTCTTGGAGCCCTGAGACTACCATCTGAAGAACCTGGGGCAGGGCTGCTGGAGGATGAGTGGCCACCTGGAAAGAGAGGCTGCTGACAGTCAGTCTCAAGCACCACACATGTGAATGAGGCTATCCTAGACCATCACGTCTCAGCAGATCTGCTAGGTGCCTGCAGCCCTGTGAGAGACCCCGGGCGACACCTGAAGAATCATAAGCAAATAAGATAGTTGTTTTAAGCTGCGAGGTTTTAGGAGGGTTTGCTACATAACAGTAGCTTGTTAGGTATGCAGACTCTTAGCCCCCTGCTCCAGACCTACTGAGTCATAACTGCATTTTTAACAAGGTTCCCAGGTGATTGTACAACTTGAAAGCATTGTATAGTCATCCTCCAGCAACACCATGGGCAGGTACTAGGGGTCTGCTGTGGGAAAACCATTCACAAACCTTCTCTCCCTTGCTTTCCTGAAGGCAAACTACTTGACTTCCCAGGCTTCCTTGCGGCTGAGGTGCCATGTGACCCAGTTCTAGTGGGTGGGAAGTCAGCAGAGGTTGCTGGGAGGGCTTCCCTTTTGGAATAAAGAGTCAAAGCTTGAAAGAAAGGCTTTGGCCCTTGGGCCTTCCTGTCTCTTCCTGCCTGAGACAAGGACATGGTGTCTGGAGTTGGAGCAGCTGTTTTGTAGCCATGAGGCAACAAGCATGAGCATCAAGGCAACATGCTGAGAGTGGCAAAGCAGAAAGAGGAAAGAGCTGGGTCCTTGTGCAGCTGTTGTGTACAGCCTACCCCATGACTTCTTGTGGCTTAAGATAAATCAGTTTCTATCTGTATAACTATTAGTTGGCTTGTTAGTGTTTGCAGCCAAACCCAATCCTAAATCATACCAAACTCTAAAAGATACTTAAAACTTCTTTTCATCAAAAAAGAGAAAAAAAAATGCCACAAACAAAATTTAAAAAGCAAAATGACAAACTCAGGAAAATGTTTACAGTAAGTTTGACAGAGGGATGATATCCTCAATATATTAATATCCAAGCCCTTTACAAATTTAGAAAAATGTAAGCCCATTGAAAAATAGAGTATGGACAGCTTACAAAAGAAGAAATGCAAATTTTAAATCTGAAGCCCCACCCATAATCAATGGAATGCACAGAAAACAAGTCAATCTTTTTACCTATGAAGTTGGCAAAGGTTTTCTGTTGTTTTAAATTCAGAACTGGCAAATTTGTGTAATATTTCTAAGAAAGCAATTTGACTGTAATAAGTCCATCCTTTTGACCCAGTAATTCTATTCCTAGGAATCTGTCCTAATGAAACAGCCAGAGTTTCAGCTGAGCTTTATGTGAGAGGATGTTCTCACAGGATTATTTATAGAAGTGAAAAACTGGAATCATGCCAAATGCTCGATTATATGAAATTGATTTCATAAATCTGGGGATGTTTTACAGCCATATGGTAATTTTGGTTTTAATTGTGCTAAGGGACAAGCACTAGCAGCCAAGCATTCGGGTTTTGGAGTCACAGACAGATCGGGGTTCAGGTCCCCGCTCACCACTTACAACCAAGCCCATCAGCAAATGATGTAACATCTGGAGGCCATTTCCTCATCTGTAAAAGAATAAAAGCTGCCTAAAAATGAAATGAGATAACGTACGTAAAATAGTTAGTCTGGGCCTGGCCATACAATGTTTCCAAAAGAGAGGCTCTTATTATTGAATGAGATGAAAAACGCTACATGGGAAATTAGACTCAGAGCTCCAGCCCAATGCCAATTTGGAAAAGAAAAAGCATGAATATATGCATTTTTGAAAAACTGGGTGGAAATACACCAGATTGTTAAAGATGGTTACGTCTGGATGGTTTTTTTTTTAAATTTTCTTCTTTAATTTTCAAATATTCTACAATGAGTATGAATAATTTTTATAGTCAGGGAAATTTTTCACTTTTGAAAAACCAAATTTAAAGTCAAGCCCCGAAGTCCTTGATTTCTCTTAACAACATATCATGCTTTTTGTGTGGGTGCCACTTAAGCCTTTTGAAATCCACCTCGTGACAGATTAATAATCTCTCTCACTACGGCATATATTAAGACAGAAACTATTTAATCTCTGTTTTACAGATGAGGAACAGAGAGGTAAGTCCCGTGCCCAAGGTCACACAGCTGGTAAATTGTAGATCAAATTAAAACAGTCTAACCACTGTGGCAAGCTGCCTCTTAGACTACTTGGCACCTCCCATGACTCAGCCCTGGTGCCCACTCCCCACCTGGCCCCACATACCAAGGTGCGTGTTGGTCACAAAGTTCCCCAGCCCCGACAGGTCATGAGCCCCGTCTTCTCTGCTGACAGGGCCATCGTTCCACATGAGGTCGAAGCCTCCCACTCGCTTCTCCCTTCCCGTGAGTCTGGACAGGCAGGAGACAAAAAGGGTTAATGAAGGTGCACCTGGTAGGGCCCTAAGACTCAAGCCAGGTCCCTGACTGTTCCCTGCACCCGACTGGTACCCACCCTGTCAGAGTATATCTTCTTTTGTCCATCCATTCACTGGTCGTTTCCCAGGCGCCCACACAGGCCTCAGACGGGTCATCCCCCATTTGTCCCCAGGCTTCCACACTTGCCCCCAGTAACATGCACCTATTCGTGCTTTCTGGTTTAAAGAAATCTGCTGTTCTTCCCAGACCACAGACTCCATGAAGTCAGGGACTAGGCCTGTCATGTCCTTTATTGTGTCCCCAGTGTGTGGCACAAGGCCTAGCACATAGTAGGGGCTCAAATGTTTGTTGAATGAATAAGTGATGGTGGATATAGTGGGCACCTGAGGTTCTGCCTGCTCAGCATACATTTCACCATTTTTTAGCCTGTGGGTACCTGGGTTTTTCTTTGGAAAACCATGCCTCCCTCTCTCACTCTCATGGCTCAGGTGGGGTTAACCCCACCCCCCTGGGAGGTGGGCACAATACCTAGGTCAATCAGAGTCACAGTGATTGGTTCCGGTATGGGCATGCGACTCAATCCCCACCAATGAGCAATGAGAGTCAGCCCTCAAACTTTTGCCAGAATAATTGGGGAAAAGTTAATACGGAGGAAAGAGATGAGAGAGAGGGAAGTGAGAACAGACAAACCAGCCAACACTGCCTGAGCCATTCCTGAAGTCAAACCCTGGATCTTTCTATTATATACACATCATTATATCAATAAATAGCCTCTTACTGTGCACTTTCTGTGAGTTACACACTTTATAATAAATTATCTTGGTAAATTAATCTAACAAACCTGAGAGGTAGATAGATATGAAATCTCCCATTTTACAGATGAGAAAACTGAGGCTCAGAGAGGTGAAGTGAGTGGTTCAGGGTCACACAGTCAGGAGATATTGAGGAAATCCTGCTGGACCAAATCTCAGTAAGCTGTAGTTGGCCTGCTCTGCTGGGACAGGGCTGAGTCCCTGGGCCAGGATCTGACCCTGTGTGGACATTGCAGTTTCTCCATCTGTAGAATGCTGGGGCGGGGTGGACAGAGCCATCTCTGAGGGCCTCTCAAGTCCCAAGGTTCTGAGTTCTCTATCCTCGGTGGGAACCCTGATGGTCAGGTACAGGGATGCATGAGCAAGGTTGCTCTCCCTCACCTGGCCTCCATGTCCACGATGTGCAGGGTGTCTTCCAGGAGGCAGGTCTTGAGCTCATAGTCCTCCTGGCTGCTGGCTGTCAGTGATGGGGATGCATTGACCTCCAGGAGCCACCTGCGGAGGGAAGGGAGTAGAGAATCTTAAGTGTACCTGGTCCCTGAGGCCCCTGGAATTTCACTGAGAGGCTGGATAGGGTGCCTGGGTCTCACCCTCAATTCAACCAGGGCTGCTCTCTCCACATTTCCATTTGAAGAAAGGGTTCAGGGGCTAAAACTTTCTTTTTTTAATTAAATTTATTTATTTAATTTTGGCTGCATTGGGTCTTCGTTGCTGCGCGCAGGCTTTCTCTAGTTGCAGCGAGCGGGAGCTACTCTTCATTGCAGTGCGCAGGCTTCTCATTGCGGTGGCCTCTCTTGTTGCGGAGCACGGGCTCTAGGCGTGTGGGTTTCAGTAGTTGTGGCACGCGGGCTCAGTAGTTGTGGCTCGCGGGCTCTAGAGCGCAGGCCCAGTAGTTGTGGCGCACAGGCTTAGCTGCTCCGCGGCATGTGGGATCTTCCCGTACCAGGGCTCAAACCCGTGTCCCCTGTTTTGGCAGGCAGATTCTTAACCACTGCGCCACCAGGGAAGCACAAAACTTTTGAAAACAACTGTCGCAAACTTGGGCAGTTCCAACAGGGTCCAGGTGGTGACTTATAGGAAGCAAGTTGGTGGGGGTAAGAATGATTTTGCTGCCCTCATGCTTGTTATCGCTTTTCCTTCTTTCAAAAGAGCTGTGAGTACAAGAAAAACTCCTTTCCTAGTGAAACTTTGCCCATAAATGGCCTGACACGTCAGGGGGTGGGGAGTAGCAGGGAGGGGTAGGGACTGTGGTGAGCCGGAAAGAGCATTCCATGTCTAAAGGGGTGGCTATGGAGGCTCTAGGAGAGCGTTGCCCTGTGAGAATGTGAACCCAGAATTGCAAGATCCTCTGACTTTCCCAGAAAAGCCAAAAAATCCAGGTTTTTGTGTAAACATCTTCCAGTTATTGGAGACTGTCAATGAAAATCAACCAAATGCAAAAACATCGGGAAGGCCAAACTCAAAGTGTCTGCAGGCCAGAAGCAGCCCAAGGGCCGCCAGCCTGCAACCGCTTGTTTTGTGCAACCCTGTCATTTTACAGACAGGAATCTGGGGCACAGAGAGGGCAGGGCTCACCCAGCAGGTCAGTGGGAGACTAGGGCCCCCTTTCCACTATTTTCTGCCTCCTGCCAAGCTTGTTTCCCCTTTCAGTGTCCACTTTAATGCCCATAGCACATCTTGCATCCCCGGGGGCAAGGGAGAGAGACCCGCTGGTGCCCGGCCCCTGTTTCTCTTGAACTTGGGCCCGACTTAGGTCTTGCTCTAGGGCTCCTACTCCTAGCTCAGAAAGCCCCTCAACAGCTATACAGTGACCCTGGGGAGGGGGTTGGGTCCAGGAACCTCAGTGCTGTGGGAGCAGCTCAGCCCAGGAACATGGACCCTGGGCCTGGCTCAGCCCTTGACTTACTGCATGACCTCAAGCTGCCTCAACAACCCCACTGGGCTTCTGTGCCCTGTTGTATCACGTAAGGGCCATCACTGTGTTCCCTGATAGTTCAGGTTTGTTCTACTCATCAGCTCAACCTCCTCGTGGGCACTGGGAGGGCACAAAACTCTTGGCAGGGATCGACATGGTAACAGTACTTCCTTACATGGCACTTTGCATCCTCAAAGCACCAGGGCTAACAGAGGGGAAGCTTCTTGCCTGATAGGAGGGGAGGATCGCTGACTCAGCAGATGCTCAGCAAAGGCCTCAGTGCCAGGCATGGGGCTCAGTACCTCACTTCTTCCTCATAACGATCTTACAGACAGAGTGACCGTTTTATTTTATTTTTTAATATTTTTTGGCCGCACCGTGCGGCATGCAGGATCTTAGCTCCCTGACCAGAGATCGAACCCGTGCCCCCTGCAGTGGAAGTGCAGAGTCTTAACCGCTGGACCGCCAGGGAAGTCCCACAGTGACCATTTTATAGACAGGCAAGCTGAGGCACAGAAAAAGAAAGTGTGCCCCACTGGGAAGTGGCAGAGCTGAGCTCAAACCCGGGCAGTCTGGGTGCAGAGTGTGTAAAACATCCCTCCAGGCTCTCCGGGCCGTGAGCCCATCCACTTACGGCTTGAGGTCCTGGTCTATGAGGATGTCATAGCCATACAGCTCGAAGCAGTGCTTGTCGCTGATGATCACCTTCTGCACGCTCTGCAGGCTTCTGATGAAGATGTTGTCCATGTCACTGAAGAGCGTCTCCACTGCCGTGGGCCCATGCTTGGATGCCAGATACTGCCGGAAGCGCTGCAGCATCCACTTGCAGCCCTGGGACCCCGCCGCCGGGTTGGGAGAGGGAGCCTCGGTCAACCCGGACCTGGCCCATCCAGACCATCATTTACCATCAGCACAGCCCCTAGGCTTGGACGAGAGGGGCCCAGCCCTGAGTCCTGTGATTAGGAGAACCCCAAGTGTGTCCCTCCTTGAGGGGTGAAGATTCTACATGCCCAAGAGCCTGTGCCTCTCTTTCTAGAGCACAGCCTGCTATCCACCACCCCAGAAGTCCCTGACCAAATGCCCTGCACCAGTTTCCTCCCTGGGCCTGCCCTTATGCAGACAGACTGCCCTGACCATTGTGCAGCCCAAGGCCCAGGGAGTCACCAACAGCTTGCTGTTTTGTGTGTATGTGTGTGTGTGTGTGTGTGTGTGTGTGTGTGTGTGTTTGAAGGAAGCCCCCTCGGGGTGATGGGGAGCTGGGGACCATCTCTTCCTGGGCTCTTCTGTTCTGGCTTTTAACTCTGAAAAGTCTGAGTGTTCTAAATATGAACCTGGCCTTGCAGGTTATTAGATAGACAGATGATAGATGAGAGATGATAGATAGATAGATAGATAGATGATAGGAGTATATCTGTCAAGGTAGGAGGATACAACACATTTTTTTAAACAGTGTGTTCATTTGATTTGTAACTTAAATATTTAGACACATGACGTGTGGGCCTCCATTTGTACTCTTGCCCTGGGCCCTGCAAACGGGAAGGGTGATCTGAACTCTCTTCGGCTCCTTGGTATCCCTCCTCCTCCCCCCAGCCCAGTCCCAGAGGCCATACCTGGAGGGCAGAAGCCCAGGTTCCTCACCTTCTTTGGGTGGTAGTCAGGAGACGTCTTTTGCACGGCGACATTGGTGAGGTGGACGTCTGCCAGAGATTAGTGGTCAAGGGCCAGTGCGGACAAGAAGGCGCTGAGCCCTATGCCATGTAGCCCCCAGGGACCGAACTGAGACCCTTGCTTGGGAAGTGATGGGAGAAGGCCACCAAACAGCCCAGAGGTCACATGCGGGGGCTTTGGAGTCAGATGGGCTCGCACTCCTGAGCAAGTCACTTAACCTCTCTGAGCCTGTTTCCCCACCTATTAAATGGGGGCGTGTAGTAGTATACTGACCTCACAGGGTTATCTGAAAAATCAGATAAGACGCTGTGTAGAAGCACCTCTTACAGTGCCTGGCGTGGCTAATATTAGATTAGGATTGTTCCACTCAAGAGGATAGAACACTTTCTAACATGTAGAAAGACCAAGCACAGAACAGCCATCTCAGGACATTCTGAGCTCTCTGTCACTAGAGGGGCTCAGGCTGGGTGGCCACTTTGCAGGAATATCAGAGAAGTGACCCAGCATTGGGATGGGGTCATGTTGGCCGCCTTTGAAGTCCCAGCCCTGAGAGTCTGCTTTCGGTATCATTACCATCGTCACCACCAGTAACATCGGCAACACTTTGAGGCTTACAGAGCATGTTCACACACTTCAGCTCATGTATTCCCCAAATCATTCCCATCTCACAGAAGAAAGCTTCGAGGCTCAGAGAGGATGACAGCCACTCAGAATACCCCTTCTCAACATCCTCCTCCACATAGCTAAGTAAGATGGATCCCCAAAACCTTGTGTAGTGACAAGACATAACTTTCACTTGGACTTGTTGGTGAGACAGGCTGAGACCTTTTGCTGCAGTGCTTGCACCTGGATACACAGAAACTATAAGGGACTAAAAATAACTGCATGCATGCGCAGTTGGGGCAAGTTATGGACAACAAGATACAAAGAGACCAAAAAGCCCAACTGCCACTTCTGAAGAGCCAGGAGCAAAAGCAGAGGGTCGGGAGCAAAAGCAGGGTATTGCACATGCCCCCTACACACCACCACCACCAAAGCGTTGGGCAAACCACCTAAGCCACCCTTCTGGCCCGACCCCTGGACACACCCCTACCCTCATCCCATATAAGGAACCAGCTCCCCCCACCTTGGTGAGTAAGGGAACTTGTTACTTGTTCTTGCCCCCCACTGCTGCAGCAGGGGCCCCAATAAAGCCTTGGCTGAATTTCTTCTCTGGCCTCTGATCAATTTCTATTGATTGAGGAGGCCAAGAACCCTGGTTGGTAACATTGGGACATTTCACACATGCGGAGGTAGAGGCTCTAGGTCACTGACCCAAGTCTAATTCCCCTAACACGTATGTTTCTCCATATTTGTGGCATATTGGACAGGGCTTCAGCCTCTCCAGAGAAGGTGGGTATTCTCTGTAGCACCATTTTCCTAGAATGTCTTCTTTAGGGCTTTTCAAAGACCTTTTTTTTCCACATTTGTCTGAGAGATTTTCTGCCTTAATTTCAAAAGAATAAGCACATAACAAACCACTAAAAGGAAGAGAGCCCTTACATTTTTGGTCAATTGATTTTCGAAAAGGGTGCCAAGACAACTAAGTGGTGGGAAGCAAAGTATTTCCAACAAATGGGGTGGGGATGCCTCAATATCCATGTGTGAAAGAATAAAGTTAGACCCCTTTCTCATACCATAGACAAAAATTAACTCCAAATGGACCACAGACCTAAATATAAGAGCAAAAACTATAAAGCTCTTAGAATAACATTTAGGAATAAGTCATTGCAACCTTGGGTTAGGCAGAGCTCCTTAGCTGTGACAACAAAAATACAGGTGAAATACACACAGAAAAAACTTTTGACAAAATTCAACATTGATTTATGATTAAAAAATTCTCCAGAAAGTGAGCATAGAGGGAACCTACTTCAACATAATAAAAGCCATATATGACAAACCCACAGCAAACATCATTCTCAATGGTGAAAAACTGAAAGCATTTCCTCTAAGATCAGGAACAAGACTCTCACCACTATTATTCAACATCATTTTGGAAGTTTTAGCCACAGCAATCAGAGAAGAAAAAGAAATAAAAGGAATCCAAATTGGAAAAGAAGAAGTAAAACTGTCACTGTTTGCAGATGACATGATACTATACATAGAGAATCCTAAAGATGCCACCAGAAAACTACTAGAGCTAATCAATGAATTTGGTAAAGTAGCAGGATACAAAATTAATGCATAGAAATCTCTTGCATTCCTATACACTAAGGATGAAAAATCAGAAAGAGAAATTAAGGAAATACTCCCATTTACCATTGCAACAAAAAGAATAAAATACCTAAGAATAAACCTACCTAAGGAGGCAAAAGACCTGAATGCAGAAAACTATAAGATACTGATGAAAGGAATGAAAGATGATACAAACAGATAGAGAGATATACCATGTTCTTGGATTGGAAGAATCAACATTGTGAAAATGACTATACTACCCAAAGCAATCCCTATCAAATTACCAATGACATTTTTCACGGAACTAGAACAAGAAATTTTACAATTTGTATGGAAACACAAAAGACCATGAATAGCCAAAACAATCTTGAGAACGAAAAACGGAGCTGGAGGAATCAGGCTCCCTGACTTCAGACTATACTACAAAGCTACAGTAATCAAGACAATATGGTACTGGCACAAAAACAGAAATATAGATCAATGGAACAGGATAGAAAGCCCAGAGATAAACCCATGCACCTATGGTCACCTTATCTTTGACAAGGAGGCAAGAATATACAATGGAGAAAAGACAGCCTCTTCAGTAAGTGGTGCTGGGAAAACTGGACAGTTACATGTAAAAGAATGAAATTAGAACACTTCCTAACATCATACAAAAAAATAAATTGAAAATGGATTAAACTTACCTAAATGTAAGGCCAGACACTACAAAACTCTTAGAGGAAAACATAGGCAGAACACTCTATGACATAAATCACAGCAAGATCCTTTTTGACCCACCTCCTAGAGTAATGGAAATAAAAACAAAAATAGGGCTTCCCTGGTGGCGCAGTGGTTGAGAGTCCGCCTGCCGATGCAGGTGACACGGGTTCGTGCCCTTGTCCGGGAAGATCCCACATGCCGCGGAGCGGCTAGGCCCGTGAGCCATGGCTGCTGAGCCTGCACGTCTGGAGCCTGTGCTCCGTAAAGGGAGAGGCCACAACAGTGAGAGGCCCGTGTACCTCAAAAACAAAACAAAAACAAAAATAAACAAATGGGACCTAATGACACTTAAAAGCTTTTGCACAGCAAAGGAAACCATAAAAGCAACTGACAAAGGATTAATCTCCAAAATATACAAGCAGCTCATGCAGCTCAATATCAAAAAAACAAACAACCCAATCCAAAAATAGGCAGAAGACCTAAATAGACATTTCGCCAAAGAAGACATACAGATGGCCAACAAACACATGAAAAGATCCTCAACATCACTTATCATTAGAGAAATGCAAATCAAAACCACGATGAGGTATCACCTCACACCTGTCAGAATGGCCATCATCAAAAAAATCTACAAACAATAAATGCTGGAGAGGGTGTAGGGAACCGTCCTGCACTGTTGATGGGAATGTAAACTGATACAGCCACTATGAAGAACAGTATGGAGGTTCCTTAAAAAACTAGAAACAGAACTACCATATGACCCAGCAATCCTACTACTGGGCATATACCCTGAGAAAACCATAAGTCAAAAAGATACATGTACCACAATATTCATTGCAGCACTATTTATACAATAGCTGGGACATGGAAGCAACCTAAGTGTCCATCGACAGATGAATGGTTAAAGAAGATGTGGCACATATATACAAGGGAATATTACTCAGCCATAAAAAGGAACGAAATTGAGTTATTTGTAGTGAGGTGGATGTACCTAGAGTCTGTCATAGAGTAAGTCAGAAGTAAGTCAGAAAGAGAAAAACGAATACCGTATGCTAATGCACATATATGGAATCTAAAAAATACAGTACTGATGAACCTAGTGGCAGTGCAGGAATAAAGATGCAGATGTAGAGAATGGACTTGAGGACACGGGGGGAGAAGGGGAAGCTGGGATGAAGTGAACCAGTAACATTGACAAATATACACTACTAAATGCAAAATGGATGGCTAGTGGGAAGCTGCTGCATAGCACAGGGAGATCAGCTCGGTGCTTTGTGACCACCTAGAGGGGTGGGGTAGGGAGAGTGGGAGGGAGGCTCAAGAGGGAGGGGATATGGGGATATAAGTATACATATAGCTGATTCACTTTGTTGTACAGCAGAAACTAACACAGCATTGTAAAGCAATTATACTCCAATAAAGATGTAAAAAAAATTATATTGAGATTAGAAAAAAAGCACAGGTGGCAATAAAAAAGTAGATAAATTGGACTTCATCAAAATTAGAAACTTTTGTGTTTCAAAGGACTTTATGAAGAAAATGAAAAGGCAGTGCGCAGAGGATTTTTAGGGCAGTGAAATCACTCTGTATGATACAATATGATGGATACATATCATTATATGTTTGTCCAAACCCATAGAATGTACAACCTTAATGTAAACTATGGACTTTGGGTGATTATGATGTGTCAACATAGGTTCATCAATTGTAGCAAATGTACCACTCTGGTGAGTGGTGTTGATAGTGGGGGAGGCTATGCACACATGGGGGAAGGGGGTATATGGGAAATCTCTGTACCCTCCTCTCAATTTTGCTATGAACCTAAAACTGCTCTAAAAAATAGTCCTTAAAAAAAAAAGGACAACCAGGGACTTCCCTGGCAGTCCAGTGGTTAAGAATCTGCCTTCCAATGCAGGTGATGCAGGTTCGATTCCTGGTTGGGCAACTAAGCCTGCATGCCACAACTAGAGAGAAGCCTGCGCACTGCAACGAAGAGCCCGCGCTGCAACAAAAAGATTCTGTGCGCCTGCAACCAAGACCCGACCCAAAAATAAATAAATAAATAAACATTTAAAAAAGAGAAAACAAACAATGGAACAATATATATTAAAAA